CCTAAATGCTGCTCCATTTGAGACCACTTGAACTGTAAATCCACCACTGTTCTTGGCAAATTCGATTAACGACACGAACGACAGGTATCGGACGCACGCCATGATCGATACTCCGGGAAACCTGGAAAGTTTGCACAATATCCGGGGGCGCTCGCACCGGGACTTTCGGTTTTGAGAAGAGTGTATTGTCGTGTCGGGGGTCCGGCGAATCCGCAAGCGGAGTAGACGAGTTCCAAACATGTCAATTCTGTCAAGAGCCGCGGCCGAGGTGGTCGAGTATGTGCGCATACACACGCCTAGTTTGACCCCTCTCGTCTGAACCAACTCCTGATAGCCACGGAGGATAGAAGACGCGTTTCACACCGGATAAAAGGTCCTCGAAACGCGTCAGCAGGTTTCTATCCCACGCGATGATCGTGCCTTGACCGAAGTGCGATTGCGAATCGAGACTCCAGAGACATTCGATCTCCCCCTCCTTTCTCCCCTCTCCTTGTATCGTGTTACCTTGTTCCGAATTTTGTTGCCGTATGTACCTTTAATCGAAAAGTAAGTGCTCTGCGCAATAAAAATGCATTTGTCTTTTTTTTTCGAAGGAAATATTTGTTAAAAATGACTCGTGTAACTCACACGGAAGTTCATATGAATCGCGAAAGCGTTGCAATACGTCTTACTGTTACCGGGTAATTTGTTAATCTTAAACACAAGAGTTCTTGACATAATACGTTTCTTTGCATATTATACGTGAAATCTATTTGATCGCTCGCGCCATGCATCGCGCAGAATGTATCTCATTTTTCAAAGTCAGTGGCGGTGGATACCGCACGCAGCGAGATGGATCGTAGGAAGCTAAAAAGGGCGCTTTTGCAATTGAAATTACCGCGATGGAGAATATTTTCGCTATCCGCCGCGGGTGCGGCGCGGCACCTTGCCTCGGGCTCAAGGGATTAAAATAATAATAACGTTGGAAATTGGACACGACCGCGGCGGCGGCGCAGCGGTACCCTCATAATCTTTGGCGGCCATATGCCGGTGTCAGCTGGAACGAAGCCAGACGAATGTAAAAAATGATCGCGCGCCTAATCTGCCATTGTGCGGGCTGAATTTGGGCCCCGCCGCCGCGCCGCGCCGGTCTCACTTTATTCAATTGCAACTCTGGCTCTCTTTATGGTTTCGCATTTCCTTTCGTGCACGTGATAGGGAGAGATCGTATTGGTTCTGCACGTGCTCTAGGATTCGTTTGGCTGCCGATAAGAGACGCGCGTTATGCATAAATCTGCCATAAAGATCATCCGCGAACACAAAAAACGATTGTACGACTTCACATTTAACAGCGATCTCGACGAAAATCGTGCGCGGCAGGTCAAATCTACGGTGTAAATCTTTCAAAAATAACCACCGGTTTTATAATGTCTCCTGGGGCACTGTCGAAAATAGTATATTAAGATTTTATATCTCAGCGATCCCGTAATCCAGTCGCGTTGACTTTTCTCATGAGAGCACGAAGGTACATATATATCTATATATGTGTGTGCTCGTGCTCGCGGTTGAGCTTATTAAACTTGAATAACATCGACCTCAAATCGATTCACGAGGATGCGAAGCGATTTCAAAAGCTATCACGATAGAGTTCCTAAAAATCCCTGATTGCTCATACAGTTACCCGAACTCTCATCGTCTGCCTCCCCGTGACAATTCCATTCACCGCTCATTGATTCATAATCTCTATTGTCGCGATTTATATTCAACCATCGACGCGGTTTGCTTCTTTCTCGAATTTTACATAAATCCCGTCTATCCCGTCAAATGCACTATTTGCGAAATTTATGAAAGAGTGACTTATACAGATTAGTGAAAAAAAAAACCTAAGATAAACATATCCGAGTATATGAAATATTCTCATAAACATTTAATCCTTGCACTATTTATCATCTCGGTTCTTACGCCAAAATATATCGGAATATTGCAATTATCTTGAATACAGAAAAAAATACAGAAAAAATCGATTAAATTCTTGATAGAATTCATTTTCTAGTATATTGGGAGAAAATAAACGTATATTGATGAGATATATGATAAAATAACTGTAGGATACAGCAAATGAGTTTTCCAGAAAGTCGGATTATTTATTGCTTCGGCCGAAGCCGGATGTTATGCGAACAGCGATTAAAGGCTTTTGAGGAAAATGCATTTAGATGCAAAAACGTGTATACAAGACTAGGAAATTGGAGCATGACGTGAACGTAGAGGGATTTGAAGAGCGAATCGTCCTCTCGTTACATATTGAAACTCATAAAATTGGTAGGATTTAAATTAACAGTATCAACCATAGCTTGGCTAAAAACAGCATGTATTCCAAATTTATCTTGAATGAATATAGAAATCTAAAACGACGTTTATCCTCAAAGTAATTTCTGGCTTCTCGTTTTAGCTTGATAAACAGCTCATTAGCTAACTGCTCTTATTTTCACAAGATAATTGTACGCGTGTATATCTTCTACATATGTGCATTGCGCGCATAATTATAAAAAATAGCCCGGATAACCATTTGGCTCTTGAATCAACGAAATACAGAAATAATTTATACGTGTATATATTTGCGACGGCAATGGTTTCTGCATCCGCCAACCTCCATTTTTGTAGCCCTCCTTTTTTTTATCAGATATAATGGCCGCGATAGCAAGATTCGTAACGATTCTAGGTCGCTGATACCCTCTCGGCGTGCTTAATTAAGAAATACTGTAAAGGTATTAGGCCGTTGCCGGAACCACCGAATTCAAATGGATGGTTTCCGCAACTAGGGTCGTTAGGGCGTTATCACGCACCGTTAACAACCTCGATTAGCGATTGTATCGTCCCTCGAAGTTCAGCGCACGTTCTTATGGGAGTGCGTTGCAAGTAATTTACGATAAGTAGGCAGTGTGTTTGCGCACGTACGCGCCGTGAATGTCTTTTAATGGCAGTAAATTACACGATGATAAATATTTGTCGGAGAACTCAGCGGCGACGGCGGCGGCGCCATGTACATTTCTCCGGCGGCGCATCAATATTGAACGATTAATTATTTATATTATACACGTATCGTATATAATTAATTAAGCAAATATTGGCACGCGATGCAATCGAAAATAATGTAACAATTATCGAATAATCATTCGAGATGGTGAAATTGTAAAACCGTAGAAAGTTCTAATTATGACCATTTAACGAAGTGCTGCGAGAGTGGCTATATAAATTACGCGTTGACTAGGTTGACTACATATATCTTACAAGAATAGTTTTGCTGAATGAACATACAAATGTGGGTACAACACGGGACATGTTATTACTACAATTCAGAACGTATATTTCCTTTACTCTGCACGCTTAATAAATAACGTTATACCAAAGGGACGAATCTGGCTCTACATAAATAGAACTTACGTCGTGCGGCGACGTTTATCCCATTAACAATCGTGCGAGTCGCGGCGTGGCCAATTTTATCCGCGGTCAGAAATAGAAACGCCCGCGGCCCCGTCAGGAGATGCAACAGTTATATTAACTCGGATACAACGACCGGCAGGTGCGGATGTTGTCTTTCGTAGTGTAGTGGGCAATACAATTTTATAACAATGATAAGATCGAAATAACTTTTGCGTGGAACATGCCTACGTATAGGAGGAAAACGAGAATGCGCGAGCGCATTCAGACGAATCGGGGAAAAAAGGAGATAAACGCGCACGCGAATACGGTATTCGCGAGTGAATATAAATTTCGAAATCCCTCAGGGAGCACAGTCTAGCCGTGGTCTATCTGGGCCGATCTAACGACCTATGGGTAGCACATCGGTTTTGAATAAGTCCGACATTAGAGGGACCGTGGCGTAACGTCGGTCGTTCCGCGGAGATAAAGCAAGATCGCAAGTTTCTGCATTCCCCGCGCACGCGAAGGAAAGAGAATACGTGAAGCGAAGGGTTGGCGCGTGGAGATGCAGAAGGGAGAGAAAGAGAGAGGGCAGAGAAAAAGACAAAGACTGGCGGGGAGAGAGACGGAACAAGGTATAGATACGCAGGAAGAGTAGCTCTGTTCCAGAGTAAGAACCCCTTTCATTCCACGTCGGCCCCTCCTGATACCGTATAAAATATAGTATTGTTCGCGCTCTGTTAGCCCGGAGTGGAACGAGTATATTTAGAAAGGGGCTGCTTTCTTTCATATGTTAAGCAGATCAGTGTCGATGAGATAAAAAGAAGGAGAGGAAGAGACGGAGTTGGCAAGAGCCGTCGAGCCGTTCTTTCTCATTGGCGCGGTAATTCCACTGGCCCGTGAATTCTACGCGTTTCAGGTCAACGTGCAAATGATAACCGATTTGACCTGATATTCTTAAGCGGTTCGGAAGTTATCGCGCGTTTGTCTGAAAATGTGCAATGTATTCTTTTTTCATTTTTTTTTTTTTATTCTTTTCACTGAAATCGCAAAGGAACGAATTGTACGCTTCTTAAATTTTCACGAAACTTCACGAAACTCGAGAAGAGTTAAATACTTCCTTTGCCCCAGAATTTGTTCCAAAGCGCAAGGACTTACATTTACAACGAGAGAAGACAATTGCGAAAGTTTTTCCCGCGGGCGCTTCGTTCGCTAATATTAACATGCGACTCATCGCGCGAGTTGATCTTCGACGTTTTCGCGGCGCGGATTTCAGCGAATCCGCGCTGGCCGATGGAACGAAAATGTCGAGCGCGCGTTACGTGCCGTGTAATTCCGACGAGTTTACGGTAGAGATAAGTCAGAGTTGACTTTAGCCGGATTACCGGCGAGGTCGGCAGGGCGGTAGGGCGGCGCCTTACTCTATCCGGCCGTTATTATAAAAGTCGTAATGAAAATCTAACGATCTACCGAGCGCGCGGCGCGGCGCGGCGTGGCCGCGACGACGCGGCCGCGGTTTCGCCGCGTTCCTGCGGCACGGAAAATGAATTTCGCCACGCTACGACGTCGCATTTAATCCCCTTATTTACTTTTGCTTTCAGAACACGTGCGGGAATTCAGCTGCGGCATGCTATACTACAGGACACTCTACCTGGACAGTAAGAGGGACGCCCTATATGTCGGAGCTATGTAAGTAGAACTTTTTCCCGGCTCCGTAATAAAATGTCACGCCATGAAAATCCCCGGGAAAAGTTGCGACGTTCCCTCGTCAAAGCCCGAGAACAGAGGTATTACGTCAGCGCGCGCGCTGGGACCGTGTATGTATATGTACGTGCCACGCTGCGGATTTTTACGATTGCTGTGATTAAAATTCTACGTGTGCGAAGCGTGTGGGGATCGTGCCGTTTGATTGAATTTTCCGATGTCATCGAGTAATCGGATAATCTGAACTTTGAGGGATTACCCGTTACACAGATATCAGCTTTCGGGATAATAATTATCGTCGCATAGATATGGAATTGCGCCTCGTATATTTATGGAGGATGGTTGGGGGAGGGAGGGAGGGAGAGGGAGGGGGGGAGAGAGAGAGAGAGAGAGAGAGAGAGAGAGAGAGAGAGAGAGAGAG